TCCACTCGCTGACCCTCCATTCGCAGCCTGCCCATCGTAGGTTGTTGTTTTCAACGATGTTCCCTCTCCTTTTTTACTTTCCAATAAAGGCAGACAAGAGACTATTTAGAAGGCAGGATTATTCCAGCTTCAATCAGACAAATGAAAGAGCCCCTATTTAATTTGAACTATTGGGGGAAAAAATTGTGCCATTTATTCCTTAACCCATTCCTTGCATTCCTGAATTAATAACCACAGATTAAATAATAAACAATGATTTGATTAAGAAATCCCACAAGTTTTGCTCTCATTGTTTTCCCCTTTCCTGTCCCTGAGTTTCTGGCCTCCAACTTGGCAACTGTACAGTTGAATGATTGAAATCAGGAGTTCACTGCATGGAAAAACCACAAGAGCAAACATGAATCCCATCGCTCCATGACAACAATGTGTTCAAGCATTCCTGAGGGAAAGGCCTTTGAGCAAGTTATTGGTTAGGATTGTGGCCCTTAACAAAGTTGTTGAATAACACAATTCTCAGTGAATGATCAACACCTCCTCAATCCTTTTGCATTTCGACCGATAGTGGACGTTACCTGAACCAATACAAATTACCTGACATTTAACTACAGTAAATACAGGGGATTTTACACAATGTGCAACATTTCATAACAGATTGTGATGCACTGAATTGGTTATGGAATGTTACAAATTTCCCCCCAATTATTTCTTAGTGTATCTTTTGGTGTAGGTGGCATATGTGGAACTATTGATTGGCATGATGATGGTTTTCTGCAAGTCTCAGACACCCACCTGACCCCCCCACCCAAAAAAATCACATCAATTATAACCTGGTTAATTCGCATTTTTTAAAATAAATTTACGATCATATTCTTAGTTTGGACCTTATATCACACAGAAAAAAAATGCCATTTAAATGAGTCATATAACATTCACTTACCTATCATGGAAAAAATGATCGTAAAAGTATTTCTGCAAGAGTGAATGAAGCAGCATAGTCCCCGCAAGGCTATTATCATATACAGTAACCTTGTGGTGCAGAACCATTTCATTAACATAACATTTCAAAGTAAAATATTAAATACCACTACCAGACAAAGGGCAAACTGTCAAAATCAAAACCTATACCATAATGGGTGACTTGGCCCAAAAAGTCTTTGCATTGGATTTAATTTGCAAATTAGGAACACCCTGTTCAAGCCATGATGCCTAATTGCAAAATAATCAACGGCAATACATACAGAATGGAGAGTAGTTAAAGAGAGGTGCAAAGAGAGTAGATATAAAAACACAGATGTTCATGCTCGAAATTAACTAAGAGTCTGGCCCAGATCCAGATCTAAACTCAAATCAAATCACATGGGGCTCTTCTTACCTGAAGGCTGAATTTTAGTGAAGGGAAGCATCTTAAATTACCTTCTCCCATTCAAACTAATTAACTAAATAGCCTTAATCTGTAAATCTTTCTGAGTGAATTTTGTGCTCATTAAGGTGCCTGTGCTTGGGCATGAAAACTAGACTTTTTATGCCGTGTGTCAGCATCAAATGCCACATTTACCTTGTCACGCTGTTGCCAAAGGCCTTTCGTTTCAGCATTACATGTAGTGAGATACTACCTCCACAGGCTGTAAATCACACCTCAGGAGGTGGCTTTCACATGTCTGCAGTGGCAGCACCAATGGGGCTGTCAAAGGGTCTCTCCCACTGTCTCCAGGAGCTCCCACAATGATCCCTTCCGCTATCTCCATGTTTTTCTAACTGTGAGATGTGAGGTTCTGTCTATGGACTGGGACAATAGTGCTGTTCTGTTTATATTCGCTGCAACGCAGCGTTTGCCTGAAAACGAGGAACATCCGGAGCCAGAAAATTAAAGCTGTAACTTGGAGATCATTGTGCACACGGTGGTTTAGTGTTGCCAACAGTTATTGTGTTGTTGGCACGCAATGCCTGGAAATTGCCCTGAAGAGTAACTGAGCAGGATCCTGGTCCAAAATTCCCAAAGGAACTTCAGAACTGGTTCTATTTGAACTGACTCTCAAGTATCCTGCAAGATTAGCGTATCATGAGGCTGCCAATTCAATTCCAATTACTGCTGAAACATGTACAGGTTTATGTTCTGGCATCATGCCTATTAATGGAGACTGGCCAAATACAGTTTCACGTACGTCCCTTACAATCAGGGAGAAGAAACTTCCGTCTGATCATTTTAACTTGATGAAGCTTCTCATCAGCATGAACTAGATCTTAACTTTACAAGCGATACTGGGACCAAGTGGGATTTGTAATTCTAAACCTAAGAATGATAGTGGGCACCACATGCCATAACAGGACTCTGTCAGAATCCTGCCCCGCAATTCTTTACACTTCCAATACCATTCTACTCCTGTAAAATGTAAGGACAGATTTAGATCTAACTGAAACATGTGAGGAGGAAAGGAAAATCTTCCGGGTTGATTGCTGTAACATGAATAATATCATCGGATACAACCAGACACACAATACAATATAATTTACATTTATATAGAACCTTTGACATTGGGAGGATGTCTCTAAGCGCTTAACAATGGTGGATAGGCACTTGAGCTGGATGGGGGCGGGGAAGATGACCAAAAGCACAGTCAAAGGAGGGAGTCAGAGGGATTGCAGGATGGGATTTCAGAAAACAGAGGCAGAATGGCTGAAAGAATGCTCACCTATGGTAAGGCGGATAGGGACGTACAAATGCTTCTCGTTCTAATACAAGGGACATCTTTTCTTGGGTGAATATAGAGGTCACAAAGCTTGCTGTGTGAAAGTGGGAATGTCTGATGTTACTAATGATGAGAGAGAGAGAGAAATTACTTCGCTCTCCATGGAAATCAGACCATCAGCGTCTAAAGTAATTATTCAGTGCGTGATAGTCTCTGGACTGTCAAAGTTAATATTTTAAAAGAGGTGTTCATAATAATGAAGCATTTTAATAGCACATTTCTTTTCTAACTATTTATCACGTGGGAAAGAAAAAACCTGAGCAAAGTTTTTAATCACAAGCATTGGATGAAGATTGGTTTGAGTTTGTAGTGCTTCCAACACTTGATATATTGGATGAGGTGTAACATCTATCTTGCCATCATTCCTCTCATTTACTATGGGGTAACTAATTTAAATTAAATTTAAAAACTGTAATTTAATCAGTTTAGTTCAGGAGATTTATTGCCAGAGACTTCTGAGAAATCATGCTTTCTTTTAAGTTGCAAGCAACAAAGTAACTGAATTACTATAACGTGGCATGTACGGACCTCAAAGAGAGCACTATTTTCCCCCCTTCTTGCACTAAATCCATAATTGACCGATTCTCCAGCTTGACACTCCAGTGGTGAATTGCACTGTTAGATGTACCGTGCTTCAGATACAATTTTAGTTCTTATCAGCTGTTCTTTATGATGTTAAAGATTCCATTTCAGGATTCAAAAAGCAAGCAATTCCTCCAAGTTTTGCAGTCAACCTTCATCTGCAAATCCAATTCATTGTCCTGACATGCTTCCGATTATCCACTTTGGCAATTCGGATTTTGTCTTAAGAAATTCCATTAAAGTGCAAAATAGACCCACTTTTGTTTTCAATGAATGCCTATCATTAAGAGCGTGAATTTGCACACAGGACCATAAAAGACTGATTGAAGGAAACATCAGGATATATATATTTTTTGCAGTACTATCAAGGTTCTCCAGCCTTATTAACCTATGAGGCCCTTGAAGCACAGAAACGGATTTGTGCTCAATAATCCATAAAGTTGAAGAATTCAGACTTGTTTTTTATCCAACTTAAATTACATAATTATCACTTCATTAGTCTGCAACATTCTTGATGGAAACAGCATGTCAAGTTGTAAGGAAGAGTTATGGTACATTCCTAATTATCTGACACATCGTACTGAATTAATTGATGTTGGATTAATAAACCATGTGTGGAATGAATGTAGTGGGACTCAAGTTTAGAATTGTAGAAGTTTTTTAAAAAAGTTTCAAAATCTTTGCAAATTAGTCCCTCACAGAACCTCACATATCTTGTTTTAAAAAAAAATGCTCAGAGCGAAAAGGGTTGATGGTCCTTATGATTCAAACATGGTCTAATCTGATAATCTTTGTTAGGCCAAAAAAAACCCAAGCAATTCTAAAAAAAAGTTATATTCAAGGCCAATTTCATCTCACATTTTCCCTCCACTCTCTTCTCAGGTGTGAGGTTAGAAAGGGTGTGTCTCTTGCCAATTTCATAGAGGTAGAAAATTAGTTATGAATATGTGGGGATAAATAAACAGAGGTATGAATAGTGGGACCAAAAGCAGCTCTTACTAAGGACCAGCTCAGGCATCTTCTGTGCTCAAATATTCAACTACTCTAGATAGGTTCTGTTTCTTGGTTGAGCTGCAATGAAGCTCACCTTATCAGACCATTTCTCTTTCTTATCACAACTATCTGGCCTATTGAAACAGCTGTGTACTAGACAGGTTGTTTCACTCACAATTGATACAGTCAATTCACTTTACAGTACATTCTGTGAAGCACTTTGAGACATCTCCAAGACGTGATAAGGCACTATGTCAAATGCAAGGATTATTATTATCTGTAAACCCTCCCAGTTAAGTGTTGCACCAATCTCATTGGATTAAATGGGAAGCTAACACAAACATGATAATAGGATGGTATTATATCAACATGGATAAATGGATGCTGAGGACAGGATTGAATTTGGCTGTGATTGCCCAAATGAAGAAGAAACCACTTAATGTATTGCATGGAAGTCAGATGTAGAACTATATGCCAGTCAAATATATCAGCAGTTAACATCCTTGTAATATCTTTGAAAAAAATGTCTAATGTAAAATGAGGCTGAGGTTGAATTTTAGTTTGTTCAATAATCTTATTAGAATTCAGATCGGCAGGACTGTGAGCAGAAAATTACTAACACTGGACTCTGGTCTTGTCAAAGAATCTGAAAACAAATGGGCTCTTTCTTCTTTCGTCTGTTGGATCATGTTGGATTCATCTTTATTGAGTGCATTTTAGTACAATATTTTCTGAAAGTTACTGTTACAAACTTAAACATACTCCACACAGATAACAAACTAGAAATGTACAAGGAAACAAAAAAAGCTGTTTTTTTTCCACAGCTTTTCACTTTGTATTTACAATGTGCTGCTTGCAACATGCCAATACGTTTTATACATCTGAGAGCCATCGTGTAAGTGCGCAAAATCATGGGAGAGAAGGTACTGCGGACATAATGTATCCATTTTGAAGTCCTGTTGAATTAAAGGGGTGCGTGACCACTTCAAACATTCAGTCCTGTCGTTCCGTCGGCTCTTCCTGCAGGAAATGAGGAGAAAATGATTGTTACCTCAAGAGAACTGTGAGCTGGACAACTAAGTGACTGGAGATTCCTTATCAACAAACTGCCAGTCATCAAATTACAATCAATCACTCATCATGAATCATCAACATAAAGTCAGCCATTCAGCAACTGAACCAATATCAATTGAGGTTGACATAGAAACTAAATAAAAACTGAAGAACAACACTCATTACACAATATGCAGATTTTCCCCTCTCCTGTCCTGCGAGGACTGTTTCTCCAGGATACTGTTCCATAGGCTTCACAATCTCACTATGTCTGACTGCTCCTCAATAAACACTGCTGCATCCCCTGAACCTCACTCTCTTAGTCAAGCAGTGAGGTCTTTGCCCCTGAGACCTTTTCCATCGCTGTCAGTGTCAGGAGACCATTAAGGTGAGGTGCGAGGGTGTGAGGAGAGAATTGTACTGAAAGTGCTCTGAGACCTGGCCTCTGACAGAACAAAGTATAGCAGCCATGAGGGAAAGGCATGTGTAGACAAAGATAATTTCAAGTATGCAAGGAGAAAGCATTGGCAGACAGTGAACAGGAAGAGACTTCAAACCATCACTAATGGATGAGCTGCTCCTAACGAATAACTGAGGCATTCCAGTATCATACAACACAAAATATTAAGTTGGAAACATAGTTGTTCTGGACAGTGGTTGCTGAACACCAGTAAGTGTGTGACAGCTAATGAATCATAGCATTCTCTCTGGTCTCTGTCAACATGCTAACCTCTCCAGCCTGACTGAAGGGAAGAAGTTAATCATTGAAACCTGTGAGAAAGTGGTCAGGATATCTATTCGAAGGGCTCAACTGTGAATCAGGCTTTGCACTTGAACGCTCTGAGATTCCTGCCTGCGATCTGTGCTGCCTATGGGGTGATGTGGTCAGTGCTCAGCACAAAATGGACTGAAAATTATAACAGAAATGCTCCCAAAGTAGAAGGATATTAGAGGGTCCTGTTGATTCTTTGCAATTTGTTTTTAAAAAAACACACTAAAGGCAAGATCGATCTGTTAACCTTATACCAAAGTAGAAGGGGCTGGTAATGAAATGATGAAAAATTCACATCTTATGTCAGAATAGATACGATGAAAAATTCACGTCTTATTTCTTGCAACTAAATTAATCACCAAAAGCTACTGATTAAATGATACTTTGAGCTGAGTTGTTGAACGTACTCAAACAATATGAAAAACATGTTTGGGAATTTTTTGTCACAAAGATTATGATAATAATAATCCTTTTGTTTGATACAGGGCCTTATCGTGTCTTCGAGACGTCTCAAAGCGCTTCACAGAATATATTGTAAAGTGTGGTGACTATATATTTTGTGGATGAAACACCATAAAATTATGCCAGTCTTACTCTATTACTGCTTGGGGGCAGGGAGAGCAATCTTCATTGCTGAGCCTGTCCTCAGCTCTACACTACTACACAGGGCAGGACTGAGAGCAGGAGAGCAACTACATAGGGGCTTTGCAAATTTTAGTTTGTATATTTCAATGTATATTTCTTCCCTCCACTCAGGGATTCTAATAAGAAAAATGCCAAAATACTGCAGGTGCTGGAAATCTGAAATAAAAACAGAAGTCGCTCGGAACACTCAGCAGGTCAGGCAACATCTATGGAGAGAGGAAAGTGAGTTAACATTTCAGGTTGATGATCTTTTGTCTTCGGGGATTCTAATATTCTGACATTCCAGTACTGACTGAACGGTCACAAAAGCTAGATGAACAAGCTTAGTTTATGTCGCAATTGACTTCAATACATCTGAATCAACTTGAGGCAAAAGAAAAGCTGGGATTTTTCTCTCTATTTACAGTTCTCACAGGTTATAATATCAGAAAATGTAGTTAAATGGAAATGATGGTGAAACATATCACAGCTGCCCCTATGCTTGACATCATGGTGACAATGTTAATGCAACACATATGTGATCAGGCACCCAAACTTTTCACTCAAACCAAACACCCTGGCCCTGTACTCAAAACCCAAACCTACTTCTTAAAAATAGCAAATGTCACTTTTCTCTGCCTCTCTCCCTCTCCCTGAGTGACTGAGCTATAATAACAGCTCTAACACAATGCACAAATGATAGGCAGGTTGCAGTGATAGACTGCATATCACCCCAACCTAGGACAGTGTAATCAGGCAGATTTAGGGCTCGGACAGCGTCATCTGTGATTGCTTGCCTTCTGTAGCATCGCAATGTAAAGTTAGAATAGCAATTCTATAACAAGGTCTGCTGTCTAAGGTGAGTATGGCTTCTCAAGTCAGTATCCTGTCCATCAAAAGGTAGGAACCAGGCACGCTCAATGCAGAGACATGTCTCCTTGTGCTCTCCAAGGGACTTTTGTAATTTGTCCCAATATCAAAATAAATGAAAGGCAAAAAGAGGCTATAATCAACACATCACTATCGTAAAAAGCATGATTTAAGTTGTCCTTAATGGAACCACAAACTATGTAATTTGAAACAAAACTTGTACTGTTAATTAAAAATAATGAAGGGCTAGTGCTGAAACTGGTGAGGTTTGGACAGGATTTCGACATGTTTACTTGAGGCAAAATGGCAAGTCTAACAACTCTGCTTTGCCAACTTGTCACTCAGAACGGGTTTGTTTGCAATTACTGCAGGTAAATGCCAACAGCCTGCCACTGTGTTTGAAATATTTACACACTGTTTCTCCTTCAACAAGGGTGTGCCATTTTGTCAAACAGCTCTGATTTGTTCAAGTGGAATTAGGAGGACAAAGAGATTGGAAGAGATCACAGAAATTTCAATATAAGCAATGGGTTCATTTGCGTAACTGCAAGAAGAAAACACTGAGAGTGGGAAAACCATCCAGATACTTCGAAAAGGCCTTTGATTAAATACCACATAGAGAGAATCCTTTATAAAACTGTTGTTGGTGGGTTTAATGGGAAAGACGTGGATGTAGATTAATAACTTGCTAAAGGTATAAGAGCAGAAGGTAATTGTAAAGGAAACTAAGCCGAAATTGGAGAGGTATTGAATGCTCAAGGCTCCATGCTGGCACCTAGTGTACATAAATGGGATGATTCACAAATTAGATGCAAGGTGCTTAAATGTGCACAAACATGGAATGGCAGGGAACTGGAATTAGGGGATACAGCCAAGATCTTATACAAAGAGAGCTCAATAGGAATGCACCTGGTTGGCAAATGAAACTCAATACAGATGCATCCTGCACATGCTGATTGCAAATATTACAGCAGAAGTAGTGATGAAAAGCATAAATCCTGTCTTATTTTTGTACCTTTCTAGCTAAGGGGTATTGAGACCAATTGTAGTGCCTCAACTGTTGCCTGTGCCAGACAACTCGATGCTGAGTACCCTCCATATCTAACAATGTGCAAACTACATGCATCACAAACTCAAGCAGTTGTGTCAGCAGCTTCTTTGGAAATAGGTTGATGCAGATTTAGATTTGCTTCTTCACACTTATCAAATGTATTTATTTGTACATTGATCTTTCTTGTTCAGTATCAATTGGTCAGAGCAATTGGAACCGTGTCTCTGTGCAGTCTGGAACTGATTTGCATCACACTGCTTGCATATTCACTCACTGATCCTGCGTTCGAGCAGACTTGACTAGTGTCCAGAAATACTGTTGACCCCAATTAACCCTTCAGCACATGACAAGCTGATTGGATGGGTATCTTGGAGTTACCATTTCCAGAAATTGGATTCGGAATCCACAGATGCTACAGCTACAGGAACTATTCTATTATATACAGGGAACTCTCAGTATAGAGCAGAGCAATACAATGGGAATTCTCAATACAGAGTATGATATTACTTGGGGACTCTTAATACAGAGTACAGCAATATGTGGGAACTCGCAGCACAGAGCAGTTCAATATATGGGGATTCTCAGTCTAGAGCAGAGCATTTTATAGAGACCAAGTACTGAAGAGGCCATCACATTTATAATGAAACAATACTGACCTATAGTTCTCAGATGCAAGGCTAATAATTCATAGCCGAATCATATAAAATGACTTTGAAACTATAATAATGCCCTTGCCATCCACTTCAGCCACTGGAATGCTATGTGACCTATGCTATCCTTGGGTTAATTGTACATTACAGCAGTTCCCTCTTTCTTTGTCTGAAAACATTCCCTATTTGTTTTTATTTAACCTTCAACTTTTATTTTGTGGCACATTTATATATAGGGATGAATTTATACATGGATAATTCAATGAATTTGAAAACTGTATTCTTAATACATACATGAATTTGTAAATTCTGTTTTAAAATGTTTGTATTATATATTATATATATATCAATGAACTTTTGCTTTGTAAATAACGCAAGCTGAGCATTCTTATGTATCTTAACCAGTGGCTGGAAGCAAATAGAAGCAAATGCAGTCTATCTTCACATGTACATACATCTCGTAAGATAAGAAAGACCTTATATGGTTTTAACCTACACCTCATGCATCTGACATAGTTTAATTTCTACCGTTTCCAGGCACAGAAGATGCTTTAGTGATATTTCAGATGCAGATCAATATTTTACCCAAGCCAAATCCACAAACAATAATTCCACATACAAGTTACCACGTGCAGTTCTTCAAATGTAACTCCAAAAAACTATGGGAATATAGTATCAGGCACTTCAACCCAGTGGGTCAAAAATCAACATTACTCACTAACTTCTGCCAAGGCGCATTTTCCCAAACAGTGTCTTGTTTGAGAGCCATTCTCAGGAATGCTCCAACGCACTCCCACACATGGCAGGCTCCCAATTTAAAGAGTTATTCTGGATAGCTGTTGGAGAGGGAAGATGCTTTCTCATATCAATAATTAACATATCAATTTAGAACATGTGGAATTTGGCAAATTCTTAAATATAAGTCATTTTGTAGCCATTTTTCTGTAAGTTTCCTTCAAGAATTACAGAAAACCAACTTCACCGTTAAAGCTGAATTCAACAATTTGTTCTAACATTTCTTCTAACATTCTAAATTTTGACTCTGGTAGAATTGCTTTCCTATGTTTGGCAGGAGCACCTGAATTAACTCTATGCACTCCATTGGGGATGTGATACTGTATTATTTCAGATATTTCTTGCTTTGCTATCAGTGGGTATGATGAAGGGTGAGAAAGGTAATATTGATCATGGGAGCTGTCAGTATATGACATGTATTATTGGACTTGCACTTCATAGACTAGAGAAGGGTGGACAAGATTGTTTTCCCAGCAATATAGTGCTGATAAATAATGTAAGAATATATGTTTCAAAGACAGAATTTGATGAGACTGAATGTCTTGAGTTAAGATCCTAACCTCTGCAGTCCTGACTTAAACTCATCCCGAACAAACAAAATGAAAGTCTACAGCATGAAAATGACAAGCATTCAATGGTAACTGGCACCAAGAAAGGTCACTGGTACATGGGAAATGGGGAGATTTCACTGGTGCGGTTGGATTGCTCGTCTGAGGTGAGGGGTTACGACACATTGTGAGGAGAGGTCCACCATGCATCTTGAATCTACTATACCTGACCTGGAATGCATCACACTGGCACTGATCACAAAATAAGTAGAAACCTTGTCTGCCCTGAACCTTTCCTCCGATAAAAGTGGCCAGAAAATATAGAGGGTAAATTCAGGATCAATGTCTGGCTTTACAGGAAAAAATCTGATGAGATCTTGTGGGAACCGTGTATCAGTAGCATTTGTTAAGTGTGACAGAGTGGGAGTACTGACCGGGCAGCTAATTTGTGTTGCTTGACGCGCTTGATTCAATGCTTAGATCGCAGCTGTGTGTTACAACTCAGTACCTGTGAAACTAGTTGCTGCATTTCCATTTCTCTAGACTGCCGCTGGGGGTCTGTCAGAAAGCCATCACTCAACGACCACTTCCTTACTCATTTTTCAAATATTGTCAGCAGCTCCCTGGAGTATAAACGTTTTTTTTCCCCCCGAATATTTGTTTTTATTTGAGGTATAGGTTGTCAGAAGGGTCAACTTTAAAGAGAGAAACCTTTGAACAGTGTTCAAAATCAGGAATGTGTGAACTCCCAAATCCTTACTTTGCACATGTTTAAAATACCGATGCTCTTTGAAAGAAACTGGCCTCTTTTCTATTAGGTTTGGTTTTGATACTCATCCAGGCTGGGCTACTGACCGCTGATCGGGACTAACCTCAATTGGCCAACCTCAATGCTGTCTCTCCTGTTCATTGTACCTCTTCTAGTTTTAGTCAAAAAAAAGCAAATCCTGATTACCATTTATTAACAACTTTATTTTATAGTTGTGAGTGCTCAGTTAGTAAAACTGTGTGAAAGTGAGCCAGACCGCAAAGATCCTAAATTGAAAGCTAGAGTAATGGGCTGTTTTGTGCAGTGAATTTGAACATATTAAGAACTGGGATAAGACAATCTAAGATAATTTCGCATAGATTCTTATAGCCAACAGAGACACTTACTTACTTACACTTACTTACTTACCCTGTCAGTAAGTTCCCCATACACCCATTTCTGTCTTAAGTTTACAGATTTTGTTCATTGCGACCAAGAATAAATCAAAATCAAAATCAAGAAAATGCAAAGTTCCAAAAGGCAAAATTAAATTTTAACAACCGATTACTAAAATTCTCACTGAAAAGACCTCACAATGAGTTATTAATTAAAGATAGTAAATAGATTCTGTTGATTGCAAGTCTTTCGCCCACATATTGGGAAATGTATTGATTGTTGAGGAAGGGGCTCTTTTTACTCAAGAGACAGTTAAAGCTGAGTCCAAAGTCTTCACCAGAGACCAGTCAGCGTTCTGTTTCACTACTGAAACCACAATTTCATTTTACAGTGGATCGTTGCATCGTCAGTGCATCAAGACTGATGGATGAATATATGAAAGGTCAGATCTGTGAACTTGAGAGTCCCAACAGAAAAAGATGACATAACATTTCAATGCACAACAGACAATTCCTGCTGATGAAGATGTGAAGTAACATATCAGATCGTTGACTCCAATGTTTGGAATTGAGCTGAAAAATGGGATAAGGATAAATTCTTAATCGATAGCTACTTAGCACGCCACTGTTAAAAAGGAAAGCACAGAGAGCTACAGAGAACTTACCAGCAAGTTGAAGCAGCGAAGTTCGGAACACTGTGTTAAATCTACATCACTGGAGCTTCAATAAGCACCAACACAAAGGAAAAGTCTACAATGAGTCCATTAATGAGCAGTGCAGCACAAGACTGAAGGTACTGCACAGAGTCATTCGACTGCACCTCATCGCGAGTGGGTTTGGGGAAATTGTCCACACTGGCGTCAACGTGCACCGCTTTTCCAAAATCACAGCTTCTCTGTACAACGTCAATCAAAACAATTAATATTGAGCCCAACTAGATGGCATCCCAGCCACAAGCACAGCCTTGAGAGTCCTGTATGATAAATACCTATTCCCCTTTGTACAACCACAGCCGGCTGGTGATCAGCCAGTGTTCAAAGTCATTGCTATTAAACAACAGCGGTAGTTGCAGAAAATGCAAGCAAACGAATGATTAGTTCTCATCATCTTCAATATGAAGATATAAAAGGATTCGGAATCCGTCGTAGGACAAGAGCCAGTCCCTTGGCAATGATGTCAGGAGAACACCATTCGAGAAAGAGAAAGTGTATTTAAGAAACATCGAAGAATATCACAGCATGGAAGGTTCTACTTCATTCTTTGGGAGAAATGGGATGTTCATTGATTCCAGTTTCGCAGGCCCTGAATTAATGAAGGGAGAGGGGAAAGAAAGTCGAGTCTGATTGGGGTCTTCAATCTGCTTTGTCTTTAGTAGAGGAATACAAGGTTTCTGAATAGGCCGAGGATCAATCTGATAGACAGTAACAATACGTTTCCTTCATAAGAATGGTCAAGCCCATGAGAAATAGTCTGTGTCTTTGTTTCGCTTTCCTCCAGTGCTTTTAGACATGTCCCGTGCTTCCCTGCTGTCATGCCATTGCCGATGGAGCTTGGCTAATTTGTACCCTCATTGACTGAATGCTGTTCAGTATTTTCTTCTGGTGACCAGCCAAAGTGACCCCTATCCTTAACAGATCCCTGCAGGAAACAAAAACACAATGATGTATTTGAAACAACATGGACGCAACAGGTTGCCTAGTTATTTTTTTAAAAAAAAAACATTGAATTGTTCTATTCTCTTTCTGCACCACTTAAAAGGTGACTAGAAGAAAAGCATTGTGAATGTTTTGTGTTGCTTCAAAAGAATGCGAAGCAAGTACTGTAACTTGGGATATTTCACAGTTAGGTTATTTATACTTGCACACAAAATTAATTGAAAGTACTCAATCAGATACTGTCGCTGCCCACTTGCAGCTTGACCTCGCTCACTCAGCGATACTCTAATTTGACAGCAATTTGTGAATTTGGGTCGGGGTGGGACAGATTATCTATAAAAACAGCAAAACATGAATTTCTGTGTAATACTTTCTGGTTGTCATCCTTTCGAGTTCAGAGTACTCTTCAAAAATGGGCTCAGAAAAAATATATTCCATACAGTGTGAAGAGTTCCTACATTCCTTTCACTCAATGCACCCATCTCATCAGTTGTTTGGTTGCAACGCAAGTGAGTGTTTCAGACCAACATGTGAGTGGATCTGTAGCCAACGCCACCAGGGAAGTTCAGCACCACCACCCAACATGTATCAATCCCTAGCTTGTGCATTATTTTCACCCATAAAATATACAGTGAATCCACGTTGTAATATATTCTATGAAGTGCTTTGAGGTGTCTCAACAGCGTGGTAAGGCACTATATCAGATGCAAGGATTACTATTATTTTCCAGGATCAAATACCCACTACGTAATAATAATAATCCTTGCCTTTTGATATCAAATGCAAGGATTATTATTATAGCACTTTTTACATCTTCTAGATGTCTCAAAGCACTTCACGGAATATATTGTAAAATGGGTGAAACGTGGTAGTCAATTGCGCACAACAGTGTCCCACAAACACTCGTGGATTGAGCGCACAAATTATTATATTTTTTTCTTGAGGTATTATTATTATGTGGAGTAAGGAAATTTGTCCGAGGTTTCACCCTGCCAGAAATCAAACCCAGGTCTCTCGCTTGTGAGGCTAGTGCTCTAACCACTGAGCTACCGGAGTGGTCCAAGATAGCAGCTCAGGAGGTATGTCCCAGTTTATCAAGCAGTATGAAGATTTTTTCCTTCATGTATATTTTCACAAGCTATAGTATTCTATAGCTCACGGGAATATTTTAAAAGCAACATCCTGGTCCATGACTGTTCTTTGCCTTTCATAAACAAAAGACCATATTCATTGATTCTGACCACTGGGAGTCCCTGCTAACAAATTGCATTTTGTCGCATTTCTGGGTTAATTGCCAAACACCATTATTTCTTGATGAATCTAAAAGTGATTGTGTCCCAATTTTCAAGCTTTCAATGATCCATCAATGACATGGATAGCAATGCATTCCGCTGTCTCCAAGGGAGACTGGCATAGTGGAGGGTAAAACCACCGCACAGACTTTCAAGCAAAGAAATATATTCTATATTTTCAAGGTTGTGATCTCATCTGGATCCTTGCTCGACAGCCAGCTTCATTCTAACACTTTATAGGCCTGAAATTCCACCTACTTTTAGCCAGAAAGATCACTTTACCTTAACATTGTGGAGAATTGCAAACAATTTACCTGTCAAGATGAATTGCCCACATTCTGTGTAATCTTAAATTTTCAGCCCAAATTATCTTACAGTCTTACATTACAGTAGGTGGAATTTCAGCCCCAGCTATTGAACCCNTGAGAGAATGGCGTTTCTCTTGGTATCCTGGCCAACAATCCCCCAAATAAAAAAAAATAAAGCAGTCTTTGACTTTAAGGCTGTTTGTCGGACACAACTGTGTGCAAATTGGCGGCTGAGTTCACTATACAAAATAGTCACTACACTTTACAGTAAATCCTATGAAGCGCTTTGAGACGTGATCCTGTGAAAGTCACTACATTCAAATGCAAGGATTATTTGTTTTATACTCACTCTGACGTCATCTGAGTGGTCAGTTGGAGGGAGGAGAAGCCAGCGCTCAGGAAGTTCTCTCGGTATTGGCTCATCTTGATGGCACTAAGCCATTCCTCCACCGAGGTAAAAGTTGTGAAGTCCGGGACACTACGATCTAATAGAGGCTGGGAAGGCCTGGATCAATACAGCAAACAGAAACAAAATTCAGTGGAATCATGAATTACTGTACAGGGCATTGAGATGTCCTCCCAACATGAAAATCCTCCTGAATTATAAATGTAAATTTTAATGCATTTTTAATGCTTCAGCACACACATTTGGACCATTGTGCCTATGCTGGATCTGCATATGAGGCATCCATTTAGTCCCTCACCATATGTAGCTTGGACATTGCTAAATCACCCTAAAATCACAGTATGTTTTAACGAGCATTGTGTGACAAATTACTATATTGCTTATCACTTTAGTGATGAGTATAGGAAAGCATATGGATCATACTTTTGGTCAGACAGGTGTCTGGCACATATAGGAACCCATCACCGTGGGTAACCGAACCAGACTGAGAGTTCCACATATGCCAACCATCTGCACATGGGAATTTCCCTGTATCTAGAATGGATTGTGTGCTCTTTACCTGAAGGGGTGCACTCTGTTTAGCTAATTGCAGAGAGTATTAGGAACAATTTTGCATGAGACAACAAATGGGCACTCCAGAGTTGGAGTACTGCTGAAGTTCAACCAGCATAGGAAAACAGAAACAGTCAGAGGCCATTCAGTCCAACAAGCCTGTTCCACCAGTTTATAAGATCGATGGAACAAGAGAGTACAGTCTACGGCCATCAGCACTGATGTTTCAATGTCACAGCTCAGGTGATTAAGTCATGTGAAAAGCTGCAATAACCAGCCTCACAGTCCCAAGTGCTTTGTTTTAAAATATGGAAAAACATCAATGTCTTTATAATAGATCAAAGACAGGTACATGGCCTTGCAGAGTCACCACTGCAGCAGCCTGAATATCACTTGGTTACAGTTACAGGGCTTTGGCCATCTCTGGTTTTCATTAGTATTATTAGATTATGGGTTGGGATGAATTAATGTTTTTTTTGTTTAGAAAAGAAGGTTCTATTGTAACAGGATACCACAGTGACCCCTCAACAGGAATGAATCTCGCCACCCCCATCCCCATCATAGCTTGAGAATGACCAGCGGCCACTGTTAATCCACTTTTGTAGGACAAAAATGGTTAGAGTTTGGGGGGGGGGGGGGAGAGGAGAGAAAAGTCTATGCTGTTATGGAGATAAACTATGCTTATAAATGCCATAATCTACTTAGTGACGTCAAATTGTCTCTGATTTTCTCCTACAATTTAGCTATTTGTAGACGTTTGCTGCATCAAATGCTTTGTTAGCATAGTGAATGATTCATCTTAACTGTACTCCAAAAGAAAGGGGGAAAATAAACAAGAGTCTGAATTTGGAGTCACATAACCTGATATGAAGAAGATGGCAAAGTCCTTCGATGGCTGTTCAGTTCACCAGCCCAGTGATTACAACGAGTGGTTTTCTCTTTACAACACTTCCATGCCCTTGAACCTCCCTAGCCATGACCTGTTTGTAAACCACTTCTCTGCCTGCCCCCTTCGCTCAGCTTACACAGCCCTGCCTTGCATCCTCTCTCCCTTCTGCCCAACCATAATAATATTATTATTATTATATTATTATGTTATATAACCAGAAGAAGCAAAATGGAATCTGTTGCTTTCAGCAGGAAGGAAAGCTCATGAGACAAAAAATAAATAAATTGCAGGTCAGCTACTTCAACGAGTTGAATCCATGATGTTAGCAAGATGATGCTAATGATCGACACAGGTCAGGGGAAAGCAATAGCGAGCTTACACTGCAGTGATGGTCGCCATGGTCTTGAGGCTGGCTGGATTTCGAATCATTTTGTCCAGAGTGTTGACAATCTGGGCGAACTTAGGCCTGGCGTTACGGTCTTTCTGCCAGCAGTCCAGCATGAGTTGGTGCAGGGAAGCGGGACAGTCCATCGGAGGCGGAAGGCGGTAATCCTGCTCAATAGCATTGATGACCTGAAACCAAACCAAAGTGCAACATTCGTGAAGCAAGTGAAATGGGGTTCACACAGGTTTGGTAGGAAAAGATCCACTTGACATTTCAGATAACTTGTTCCTCCTCCACATCGCACGTTTGGGAAGAACAAAAGTGGGATAAACGCGATTATTATTTGCACTCCCTCGCTCGAGGGATGAATAGCATCCTGTGAATCCCTGTGAAATAGATTGTCTGGAAATACTGCTTTAACATCTGTTGAATCAAACTTAATTACAAATGAAGGGAGAAAAAGTGCAGAAATAGAAAGCACAAAACAATATTCCTACAGAGCCATCAGATCAGCACCTATAAAATGATAAAGCAGTGCAATTCAACTCCTACGAAGAAAAGTGGTGAATGCTCCTTAGAATTCTTTGCAAGTGTTTTTTTTTAAAAATAGGATGATGAACTCACATTAAAGAAAATAACACAAGGGGAATGTTAGTTCCACGATTTTACATAATATACTTTTGACGGCTATAAAATCAACTGAGAATGATTAGCAACATGGACACTGTGACTCCACCATCTGAACTGCATTAAGGCTTGCTGGTTGATGGATGTTGAATACACCCTCCTGCAGAATGTAATTGTTTTTATTTTCTTGTCTTGTCAGTCGCAGGTCTAGTGTGCTGGGTGCTCCACAGCTGCACTACAGAATATTCAGTGCTGCCTGACACTCGGGATGTCATAATGTAGAACGTCTGAAATAAATTAATCCTTCTCCTGTGCCAATCACATTGGTGAAATAGAAAAAAAAAGACTGAAGGGAAATGTCTGCTACTAAGTAGAGATGTGTGGACAAGTAGGTCTGAGGATCGAGACAATCTGAAATTGGGTGTTTCAAACTTATTATGTTTCCCAAACAGCAAGTTTCTGAAACAGCAGGAGGTCAGCACATGGAACTGCTGTTGCGTAGTTACAATTGGCAGTCTGGTAGTTACTGTGTGCTCACTTAATCAATATTTCTCAGAATAGGGATCCTTAAAGTGAATTTTGACCTGAGCACCAGGCTGGGCTCCCAGGCTCCGTGGACAACCCAGAGACAAGTGCTGCATCTACTGAGATTGCAAGGAAAAGGGGTTGGGGTTGGGACAGTGGCGGTAATAGTCATGGTGATGGTGGTGGTGAGGTGACAGAGATGTGAAAGAGGGTGTGATGGTCACCCACTCCTGAAATCAAGGATGGGAGGGGAAAATATGTCCGATGCTAGGACCACAATCTGGCATATGCTTAAACGCTAAGATTGGTGAGACAGAAAGTGAGGGAGGAGAGGAAAAGAGTGAAGGAAATACAGTAGATTGAATTTAGGTGGAGGGAAAGGGAGGTCAATTAAGAAGCAATGATGAGGAATCTAGAGTCATCAGAGCAGATAAGACTGAGACAAAGACAGTCGACGAAAGGTACAGTCTTTGCATGAAGAAGGATGGATGGGAACAATGATACCAAATCAAAATACCATCTGGAAGTCTCTGGGTTTCCAAAGGCTGTTGGTTGAAAACCAATACCTGAGATGGGAAGAAAGGTCAGAGTGAACCATTGAGTACAATTCCTATAGGCCTTATAATATAATATAATGAGACATGGGGATCTGAGCATAAAATAATGTGGAATGTAGGCGCATCATTCCGTACCCAGGCAACCTCACACTGCAGCCCAAAGTTGCCACAACTTCGGAGTCTTGCTTTACGTCAGGTACTCTCCAGTGTCAGAGTTACTGACTTGCCACATGATGGGAACATCTGCTTGAAAGCTGGTGAGCGCACACAGGAAAAAAAGGAAATTGCTAATCAAAGCCCATTAGGTGCTAATCAACCTACCATTATGCACAGCAGCACCACTGTGCAGATCAAGACAAAGAAATCATTTCAAGACTGGTTCTATCACGGAGTGCTCCAGAGAAAAAAAAAGAGAAATTTAAAATAAAGGTACAGGCTTCACTTCACTGACAAAGGTAACGGAACTCACATGTGGTGAATGGGCATCTTTAGGATCAGTAATTTAGTGAAGAAGGCCAGAAAGCAAAACCATAGAGGATGTGAAAAGGGTTAGACACCCTCAGCCATCCTCAGCAGGTCCCAAATTAGTAGCAATAGTGAAGGATACAGGTTGTGGTTTTAATTGACATTTGACCAATGTAATTATACAATTTTACTCCAAAATTTACATTTTCTAGACAGACTAAGTCAGAATTTAGTGACGACTCACTTTTATTTTCCCAATTCAATTGAAGAAAATGGTGCCGTGTATGTTTTGGGCTTCCTGAAAGCAAGGAGTCTCTGAAGGATTATTGATGATTTTTGATATATATGAAAACATTTCCACTTGAAGAGAAGTGCACTTACATCTTGGTTTGACATGTCCCAATAGGGTCTTTCTCCAAATGACATCACTTCCCACATCACAATTCCGTAACTCCAAACGTCACTGGCTGAAGTGAATTTTCGGTACGCTATCGCCTCTGGTGCCGTCCATCTCACAGGGATCTTTCCGCCCTACATAAACGTTCAATGGAAATTAGAGTCTCAGCTTTGCCACTGGGCTGGTATTAAATGATCATTACATGATGCTTTACCTTTTGATGTGAATTTTTTTTATTGGTTTCTTTAATCTGAACAAAGAGTTAAGGCCATTCAGGAATGGGCTGTGTTCCCCACTTTTTACAGCCGGTCAGCATAAAAATATATGGAGCTACAGGTTAAATGCCACCCTCAAAATCTGCCTTACAAGTATAGCTAGCAGTCAGTCTGGGCTGGAGTTTGAACCTTGATCCCACCAGCAAAATAAACCTAGTCACCACCCAAACCTTTTTAGAAGGTACTTTTTAAAATTGCATTGCGAGGGCATCAATTGTCAAATTCAGCCTCCCCTTTTTTACTCCCTGAAATACAGTGCCAAAATCAACTGCCCCAATTATTGTAACTAATGGTTCAAAGCACTATTTAATGTCTAAAGTCATTCTTTTGCTCAGTGAATTTGAAAATCCTATTGAGAGCAATACACTTCCCAGCAGCTGGTGACATTCACTGGCAGAGGCCTGGGGCAATTTAAGCACCAATCTTCTCCATCACATCTTCCCTTTTATCCCAACTACACTCTTCCTAACAATGCTTTAAATGTGTCACTCTGCACGTTCTTTACCCTGCCTGGACCCTCATGAAGTTGAAATCAAGACGCATTGCACTATAAATCACTCTTTCTCGTCACCTTTAGCTCTTACTTCCATCAATATTCTCTTCCTCATGCTTTCTAGACATTTGTTCAACAATAATAATCCTTGCGTTTGATATAGCACCTTATCACATCTTCGAGACAATAACTACTACTTTATAGAATACTTTACTTTATAGTAATACAAAATTACATTTGTAAAACGCCTTTCACGTTGGAGGATGTCCCATGGTGTTGGATAATCAGGGATTAGGACCCAGCGCCACAAAGCATTTCACAGAGTAAACTGTAAAGTGAATTGACTGTATATTTTGTGGGCGAAACATGGCAGCCAATTGTGCACAGCAATGTCCCACAAACAGTCGCGGGTTGAGTGTCCAAATTATTATTTTTTNAAAAGGGATTATTACTCCCAGAAAAGTGATCCACAGATTGCCTAACAACTGGGTTCCTAATTACTGCTAGGTGTGTCGAATAAGGAAACTTGGCTAAGGTTTTGTCCTGCCCGGGAATCAAACTCGGGTCCCTTTCGCTTGCGAGGCGAGTGCTCTAACCAATACACTAAGCGACTCCATTTGCTTAAGCACTACTACTTCTTGGTTTAATATTGAGAGAGCATCAAGTTTCCTATTCTCCCCTGCTCTTCTCAACCTGAACCTTGCTGGTGTACAGCGTTACACTTCAGGCCTCGCCTCCTCATCTTAATTTCTCCATTAACAACTTGGGGCTCAGGCTAAAGCCAAGCTCTGAAATAAAAATCCTGCATCAAACATTGGTTAATCCTCCAGCGTTTACGCTTTGCTGCAAGTATCCTTTGGTAAATCTGCCCTGATCAGGGTATGATCAGAGATAGCGATAGTTGCAAATTCCACTGAAGTCAAACTTTAAACAAATCTATTTGAAATCAGGCTTTAATCTGCAGATAAATGAGACCCTCAAGAAAGGGACTCAAGACACAAATGGGGCAGCTTGGCTTAGTTGGTAGCACTTTTATTTCTGGGTCTGAAGATTGTGGGTTCAAGCACCATGTTGGGACTTTTAATTCACAGTCCAGTGCGTTGATTGGGGTTGATTGCTACACTGAGGAAGTGCAGTCCTTTCTAATGAGACCTTAAACCAAGGTCCCACCTGCTTGTTCAGCTCGGGTGGGCATAAGAAGGTCACACAATTCTAGATGCGGAGCTATTTTTCCCGAACAACAATTTTCCAATTAGTTTAAGTCATTTACTTCATTGCTTTATGTGGGACTTCTAGCATGCAAATTAGCTGCCGTGTTTGTCTCTAAGCCTCCCAGCAATTACTTGAGAAGCATTTGGAGAGATTTTGATATTACGGTGCTCTATCAAAGTGCAAGGGTTATTATTGGATATTTGTTGCCCTCTGAAATCTTTAATGTTCAATGAAAGTTGTAGGAGGTATTGGAGTTTCGCAGCAGGACTTACATTTAACCTTTAATCAACTGAACAACAACAACAACAAGATTGCATTTGTAGAGCGTCTTTCACGTCGGGAGGACATCCCAGGGCACTGGACAGTTGGGTCGGGACCCGAGCAGGGAGGAAATGGTCAGGGTAAGGGGAGGGAAGGGAGGGAGCGAGGAGGGGGTAGAGAGTCGAGAGGGGAGGTGAAGGCACGGTTGAAGGGAAAGGTCTTGAGACCGGCCTTGAAGGAGGAAAGGGAGGAAGCAGCGAAGGCACTGGGGGATGGAGTTCCAGAGCCTTGGGGCTGAGAGGCTGAAGGCCCGGCCACCGATGGTTGGGGTGGGGGATGTGGAGCAGACCGGAACCAGAGGAACGGAGGGTACGGGCAGGTAAGTAGGGGGATAGTAGGTCGGAGAGGTAGGAGGGAGCAAGGCCGTGAATGGCCTTGTAGGTGAGGATGAGGATCTTGAATTCGATCTTGAAGAACTATAATGAGAGTTAACCCTCCGATTAGAACTTCGTTAGGATTCAGTGACATTTATATAATGACAACATGCCTTGTAATACTTTATCTCTGTGGAGGGGAGGAAGTCAGGGTTAAGATGTGATGGCTGATTATTCAGGATTTTGTATTCAATTGTTTATCTCCTCAATAAAATACTTTTACCCCAGAAATTGGCGCCTGTGGGGAAAAAGTGCACAATAGGGCAGGTTTTGAGTAGACGTAGACATTAATTGGCTGAATAGCCTTTTCTTGTTCTGCGCTGCCTTGCAATGTGTGAAATGATCCACACGAGGTGATCAGCACTTGCAAAATTACTACCATATGTTTAGGGTACAGTGGATTTCTGGCAAACACTAACCTCAGTGTACATTACAGGAACTGAAACTTCAAACGTTTCTCTAGTTCTTTTGGGTAAAGCCTTAATATTGCAACATATTGATTTCCACGAGTAATATGAAATATTAGAATGGAAAAACGCCTGACAGCATTATCATGGACTTTTATGTCCATGGATTATAATTAAACCCAATCACAACAGAATTCCGAGACCGATTAGGTTAAAGGGAATGTGGGAAAATACCTGAAGTAGAAAACAGCCTCACAAAGAACAACAGTGTGTTATTAATTATTAGCTAGATTGTAGGTGTGATTGCAATGGAAATCCTATACACAAAGGCTCCAGTCTCACCAGGTGCTGTTGTCTTAAAAGTAGCTGTTGATTAACGCTTCCCCGGTCCTTCTGTCAATCACTCACTTAAACAGAACGATAGTGGAGCATTTATATTACAGCACATGTTTTGTGTCAAGTTGGAGTTAAAAAATTGCCATTCAGATCGAAAGGTAGCTGAGTGTTACCAGCTGCTGGAGGTAGATCCATACTGGGGGCCCCAATGTAATATGGATAGCATGTTTTCACTTCCTGTAATGCCATCCTTATATGACAGCACTGGGGATATTAAGCTGTCCCTGTCCATGTGCTGTCAATCACTGGGTGTGGAACAGCATTTTGATTGTAACGTCTCATCTTATTCATAGTCAAGGACAACTTATCATACAGGATACTCGATGCAGGGATACTGAAATCTCAAACAAACCGCAGCTTGTCTATATATTCTCAGCAACTCGCATGTTCCAACAACAAAATAAGACTTATTTCTCTTGAAAAGTAATAATGCATCAAGCTATCCAGAGGAATGCTAGTCAAGTCACAAAGATGAATGTGTCTCTGAAAATGGCATGTTGGCAAGAGATGATCTATTGCATAATATTGTTTTAATTTCACTAGAGAAAAGATCCAAGGTGACAACTGTGAGTTATAAGAATGCAAGACGACTGAATATTTTTTTTAAAAAAAGAAAAACTTTCTTAGCAGTGATATTAATAGTTTGAAGTTGATGGTCCGAATTTCTTTGTTGATTTGGTTCAAATGTACATGAGACTGAATCATTCTTCCTTAACATTTCACTGAATAGTTATGAATTAACGCTTATTTAATGATCTGGATGTAAAAAAGTGAATGACTCGCCATGACGAAGCAGAAGGCAGAGTCATAGAAGTGCAGACAAAAATGCACTGGGCAAAATGCAGCTGCAATGTAAATGCCACACTCAAGACACTTACACAATCTGCTGGATCCAGTCATCAGACAGCCTGCTCCCCGTTCTACATGGCTCACTCCATTATCCAATGTAATTTACTGTGCAGACAATCAACATATGAAGAATAGTCACTTCAGTGAGATACTGGGCAGCAACCAGCACCCATGAAATGGGGCACCAGCAATAGCTAGAGCCTTCAGGCGGGGAGAAAATAAAAGTTTTTTTTTAATGAATTCCCAATTCAGATTCAGGAATGCTATTCATCTATAATCAAAGTGTATATATGTATCACCCATCAGTTGAAAACTAATTCCTGCTTTTTGACAAGTCAGATCTTCGCACCTGTCCAGTGTTGAATATTGAACATAAATAGGAGCTTACATTAACTGTTATAGCATTCCCTGTCCACCCATGTTCTCCTTGGAAACTGCCCAGAAACGGTCTCTGAATCGGTGAAGGGCTATAGGCATTGCATAGTGCATCAACAGATTATAATTGGGGATCTTCTGTACCTTTTATTGCAAACTATATCTAAAATGCCTGCTTCTACTTCTATTTGTCCAGTCATGAAAATGAGGACTGACAGCTCTCTGAACCATCCAACTGCTTCTCGTTAAACGCAGCAATATCTCAAGTTGCCGAGCCATGCTAACATTAAAGAATATTGTCCTCGTTTCAGCAGCTCTTCATGTCAACTCAGCTTAAATGTCAGAGATCTGCTTGTTATCTGTTTTCATTACATTTATTTTTTCAGTCTGTGGGAAGAGTTCTGGATCAGATATCTCCTTTTACTCAGTGTT